TGTGGAAGATGTCAGACCAGCTGCTTTTATCTCTAATTTGCCTAAATGAAGACACAAAAAACAATTGATTTACTGTTCACTTAAATATATTAGAAAAGCAGACATGAATCACATTGCAGACTATCAGTTTCTAACAGAATACAACATATCTTACCACCTGTAGTCTACGGTCTGTGGTGCTAACCTAGCTTAAATATAGCTTCAATATAGAACGATTTCATTAAAAACAGAGGACCCAGCAGCCCACGTATTTTCAGTAATGATCAAAATAACTGGATTTTTTAAAACACAGTGTGTTTAAATATTAGACTTTGAATACGGCGGTTTGTTGTACTTACACATTTCTTCATCGTAGACCAGCAGAGGACCCTACTGCGCAGACTCTGGCTCCAAATGACGTCAAAATCGCAAGATGGAAGCGCCCCTAAGCGGCGTATTTTGGCTTCAAGAACGTTGAGTGGGAACAGCTACAGTGCGCGCCCACTGATTCAGACCAATAGAGTAGTTCATCATAAGTTGTTCCATTTTAGGTAAAAGATACATGAGATGTATGTCATGTCGCCCAGCTCTCATAGAACAATGCTTTATGTGTTTTAATACCTGAAACCAACCTGAACCCATCTTTTTTTTTTCTTCATTTGCTAGAAGCCACCTTGAAGCCAGATCCCATGGTTATAATTCTCATCATTTCAGAAACACAGGGCACGCTGACTGCAATCCAACAACACTATTGCCTTTGGCCTTACAAGAGAAAAGCAAATTACACTTCAGCTTTAGAGACGTCTGAAGTACACACTGAGAAGCACTGGCAACAAAAAAAAAAAAAGAATGGTGATACCCTTCACTTTGGATAAGAACAATCAAGGACACACTCAAATCAGAAGGTTCAGACCTTCCCTTTGTCTCCTTTTTTGGAAGAACATTGCTGCTGATTATTCCTCACATGATGGCCTCAGAGAGAGAGAGGACAAGGCCGGCTAGTTGGGGAGGATAATGGTGTTTTGCTATTCTGCTCTTTTCTTCATGCTCTTTTAATCTGGTTGCCCATTAAACTCTCTGCCCACAAGCCTGTTTGGTTACAGAATGTGCTTATACGCTAAAAAATGTTTCATAAAACAAAAGTTGTGATCATCATTTCAGGGGGTAATACAAGAGAAGTAGCTGCTACTGAATTATTAACACTGAAGTGAGACAATCTGCAGAACAGCCTCCGAGGGAATGGCTTTTTATTTTTTTGCCAGAGAAAAAATGAGAGTAAAGTTTAGAGCTTGAACAAAAAATATAAAGTAAAAGGACAAAAGCATTAGTAAAAAAAGAGTAAAGAGAAAACGACTCTGTGAGCTGTCAGCTGTTTGATTTTAAAGTGACCTTTAAAGAAAGTGATGCGAGATAAAATATAAAAGAACGACAACTAAGAGCAGGCCCACAATCATCTTGGTTCCTGCGGGTGGAGAGATGAGCATTTATCTCTCACAAGTATAAAAACCAGAAAAGGAAAAATAATGAGCCGGCTGGGTTTTTGTCTGCACCAAAATGTCAGCTGCTTTAGACCGAAGAGTCATCACATAAACAAGTCATGTTCAACCAGAGGTCATCAGAGGAGGAACACTTGTTGTGTCTCAAACTTTGTGGAATCTCGTCTCCTAGGTGGCTCACTTTGGGTAATTCCATTGCTGTCTCCATGTGAAAAAACAATTAGCCTGAACAGGAGCTTCCTCGTTCATCATCTCTGTCATGTACGCAGCGGGGAAGGTGTTTTATCATTGTGCAGAGTGCATTAAAGAGTAAAGCTGGTGTGAAAATACTTTTATAGAAGCCATAATTAAACTTATATAATATACTTTCAGAATCTATACAGGGGGTCTGAATTTTTTTAAATAAGGGGACCAGTAACGCCCGTGTCCACCTGACGTTTTTTCCATGCAGAAAAGCGCTAGCTGTGTGCCCGAGAGTGTTTGCAAGAAGTGTTTGTGCACTGACAACAGTCTCTATGACAACGGCTGCTATATGATACTTTTTACTGCATGTTTTATATTTTACCTGATCAGACACGGAGCACAGAGGATGTGGGTACAAGACACGATCAGTATACAGGGAATATCTTACATTTGGAAAAAAGCGCCGGTGACCCCCCCCCCCCAAAAAAAGGCACAGCGCTTGGAAAAAGAAAAAATGCTGAGCGCTGCACTTTTTCTTCAGGTGGCCGCTTTCTGCTGAAAACACTCTCTACTCATTGAAAACATTTGAAAAAAGACACTAGCGCTGACAAAACAAAGCGCTACACGGGGCCAAACTGGCAAATAGTGGTTACACATGATGAAACAAACTCAACTTATACAAACTCATACTAAAGTGAAGCAGGAATGAGAACAAACATTATTGACTGCCTGGAGACAGTAGCTTTTCCCAAAAATACTAAATATAGAATTTTACAGAAGTAATGCCGCTCAGACATGTGTGGTGGTGACTGTGTCTGCAGAGACCCTGTCCTCAGGATTATCATGTTTTGTGTTGTTTTAGTTGATATGAGATGTTTCTGGGTGGGCAGCTTGAGTGTTTCCTTCAGCCAATGAAAAACAAGCCCTGAAAACTTCCATAGAGCTGTAAGGTGGGCCCGTGGGGAGGCGGGCCTTAAAGAGACAGCAGCCGAAAACAAACCACTTCAGGCAGGGACTGAAATTAGGGTTTTTACTGACGCCAGTATAAGACAAATAAGAATTAGTTTGAGCTGCAAATCATGCTAATCTACAGGTTTCACAGACTGACAACATGGAAAGTGAAACTATGTGTTGTTCCCTGGTGTTGCTGGTCCTGTGGGACTAAGAGTTAAGGTCAAATCAGTTACGGTAAACGAACAAGCTTTACAAAATGATCATGTTTGGATGTGGATTGTATTGTTGATCTACAAATGCATGCTCAGATCTGAAAATATGCAGACTCATTTTAAAATCTTTACTATTTTTAATAATAGCAGAAAATGATTTTTTTCTGCTGTAAGTCCTGAAAATACACACAAATACGAGCCTGAGCTCAGGACAACAAACCCTCAGATCGTCACACACACTTTTGAGGATATATGTACGTATTTGAGGTGTAAACGATGATTTGTGTGTATTTTTTATGCGTGCGCATCTGTGGATCTTTTTACACCAGAATAATAGCTCCATACCAATGTTCTTTTTCAGACACATCAGGATCAACACATGCAGTGATTTGGACCCGAGCACACAGAGGGACACACACCACTGCTGTGTTACAGGCCATTAATGCCAGTTTACTGCCATGGCAACAAAACCCTATGGATATATAAGGAACCAAAGAATAATTGTCACAGAGAACCAAGTGCATATGATAACAAGTGACCAATGAACTTGACTGATTGTAGAAATGAAGTGATTATTTGGAGCCAATGTTTCCTGCTGAGGAACGGCCTCACTTACACACTTACACTGGAACTTCATTCATTTACTTAAATCCATATTTATGAGGCCTCTATACACAGCTTCACATCTTTATTCCATCGAACTCTGCCCCCTACAAAAGTCTGACTCAACATTGAACGCTTTATGCTGATCGTAAAAAAGGTTAGACGTAGTACTAGTGGGCTATTTAATACTTCATCAAAGATATAAATAACAGGAATAAAAACTTCTTCATTTGTGTAATGCAGAGTTATGTGTTAGAGGACGAGTCGAGTAAATGCTGACAGTGATTGTTTTTAACTCGATGATGTACGCTGCCTCATGTGCTACAGAGTAAACACAGAAGCTTGAGTTTGTAACATAGTGCAGACTGGATGGAAGTCATTAAGTGATTACCTGGAGGGATGTAAAAGTGAGGTTTCTTATTACCGCCAATAGAGCCAATGGAAATTATTTAGGAATAATCTGGTGGACAGTTATATAAAAACAAGATTGCATGTGATTGGATTAGCACTTCACCTTTACTTTTTCTTGTCTACCGAGTGTTTCATGGTGCAGCTGTATAGAGGAGGGAGGCCGGGGGGTCAGCGTGGTCAGATACACATTCTATCTACAGCCTGGTAAGATAACAGATTCCCCATGAGACTGAGAAGCAGCCAGGCAGAACAGACCTATAAACCACTGCAGCGTAAAGCAAAGGGTCACCGTGGCCAACTACTACACACAGGAGGTGAGAGGCGCGGCGCGGTGGTGGATGGAGGTGGTGTTAGTGTGTGTTTTCAAGCGTGTGTGTGAATCCCGTCCTTTCCCCCAGGAGGACCTTTTCCTCAGAGCTGTGAGTCTGTGTGTGTGTGTGTGTGTGTGTGTGTGTGTGTGTGTGTTTGTGCTGCACACAATCCCATCCTTTTCCTCAGAGTTGTTTGTGTGAATGAATTTAAGATGGACATGTATGAGATAAGAGAATGTCTATTTACTATGTGTGTGTTATTATTAAATTCCAACACATTTGCTTTTTAGTTGTTTGGAGGATTTCTTTTTGATTACAGCACAAGTGCCTTAATTAAATAGAAAAAAGGGGCCACACATGTGAATAATTAATGTGTCAGAAATAATGCTAAATCTGGACGCTATAGAATAAACACACTGTAGCAGGTGAGTCTACTGAATCTACTGCAAGCTATCCATGTACACTACCTCTGCACTATAAGCTCTGGTGGGAACAGATTTTCATTATATACAAGCAAAAGCGTCTGTAGTGGAAAGAAAATCACACAAAGGTATGTCTGTTTGTAAGTTGCATGCATGACACAAACATCCTTTAAAATGTGTTTGTGTGTGTGTGTGTGTGTGTGTGTGTGTGTGTGTGTGTGTGTGTGAACACATACTCATCTTATATAAGGGACTGAAGAGGTGTTTGAGTGCATGAACTTGAGATGAACATGCAACATTTTTCTATTTTTGAGCATTTGTGTGAGGGTGTGATGTGCATACATTTCAGATCGACACATGTGATAGACTGTTTGTTGCTGAGCCTTGCGTGTGTGTGTGTGTCCGTGTGTGTGCGTTGTCCAGACTCACCCTTCAGGTGGATCTTATTTTCCGGGCTGTGAACCAACACCGAGCTAACTGAATCCAAGCTGTCGTAGTTGCTGCAGCCGAGAGGGCCCGTCCTCGTCTCTGTTACCTGGGAAACAGAGAAAAGAAAGCACGATATAAAATATATGGGTTTTTTTTCTTATCATACAATTTAAGCAGCGAAAGAGGCAGATGTTTGTTCCCATTTTGCAGCCGTCAAGTTTGCAACTTGTGGCAGGCGCAGAATGCAAAGGCAGCCGTGGGGGAGTGGATGTGGCAGAGCCCTCTGACAGCGGAGACAACCATCGCCATCTTTTGCTTTCACTCCCACACCTGCAGCCACAGCTGGCTGCAAAGCACCGGCTGTCTCCCCAGAGAACAGAGCGGGAGAGAAGTGTTAAAGAGAGAGCCGTCCCAGCTGTTTGTGAGAGACGATTTGAGTGTATTCCTCGAGGTCTGATAATTAAACTGCTACATGTGCTAGCTTCAAAGCAGCTCTACACTCTGACGCATCACTTTGCAAAGATAAGAAATCAAAGATGTTCTGCACGCTCTCAACAAAGGTAAAGTTTCATTCCGGCCAAAAAAATGACAATAACCTCTTCTATTCTTTTGGAAAAACTGCAAGAGTTACACAGAGTGAGTTATTTAGATCATTGAGAAAAAAGGCTGTGGGCGCCATGACCTCGCTCCCTCCCATGCTCGCTGTAATATGTATCATGATGCCTTCAGGTACTTCCACTGCTGAAGTCAGGGGACATTGTGATGTGTTTTACGCCAATGAAAACAAACAATTGAGACTTTTCTGGAGGACTGTCCTGCCCTGATGATGATCTTGATGTCATGTAGTTTGTGTTGTACTGAATACTGTGAACTTTGTATCTACTGAAATATTAAACATTTGAAAGAGTAAAGCACCCCATTAGATGGACATTTTTTATGTTGAAAGACATAGCATCCAATTTATGATTTCATTATTCATTTATATTGTTGTGCCAAAATATCTTCAATCAAGCTTAATTCATTTATTAAGCTTTGACAATTTCACAAATGTGTCATTTATTAAGCTGATGTTTAAGAGTGTGAGTGATCTTGCCCCAGAACTGGTCGGTGAAAAGACTCAAAAATACTCCAGTAAAGGAGCCATGACAGTCTCTAAATGTAGTATGGGAGGTAAAGCCTTCAGTTATCAGGCTCCTCTCCTTTGGGATCATCTTCCAGCCGGGGTCCAGGAGGCAGACACAGTCTGTATTTTTAAGAATAGACTTAAAACTTTTATTTTTGATAAATCTTATAGTTAGGGCCGGTGCAGGTGTAGACCAGCTCCTACTTATGGTGCTATAGGCTTAGACTACTGGGGGAACTGGTACCTTGAGTTCCTATCTCTCCCCCCTGAGGAAGAGCATGTCAGCTCTAAACGTCACATAATAAGTCCTTCAAACGGGAGCTTCTTGTTGTGTGGATCTTGCTCTGCTTTCCTTATTTGTTTCTTCGGTCATGTTTGCCTCGCAGCCCTGCCACATATTTGTGTGTTTGATGTTTGTGTGGCTTGTTAAAAAAACCACAGGATGCACCCATAAACATAAACCCTTTATATGATCCTGTACTCATAAACACTACCACAAAAATGAAACTAGATCGATGAGGAGTGAAGTCATATTCCTTTTTATGCTTCAGACAGTTTCAATAGACACTGCTTCAGGATGCAACAGTGGTACTGAAAGAGGGGTGAAATCTTTGATATCTTTAAAAATGTAACATGGCTGTAATTGGTAAACACTTGAGTATTTTTTTTAAACATCATCACGCACTCTCTCATATCTCGCCCTCGCTCGGCCCCTCTGTGCTTCTCCATGGAGAGAGAGAGAGAGAGAGAGAGAGACAGAACCTCATTTACAGTCATATCTGTGTCTCAGTAGGAACTAAATGAGCTATTTCCACTTTACAAAGAGTAAATCTAAGTTACTCTCTGAGCTGGACGGATGTACCAGAAGTCTCTGCCATCAAGGTCAATGAAATATTTTTTGTAGCACAGACATGTGACCTGAATGTGAGGGGATACTAGATACACATCCTGAATTAGGATGGATAAACAACATCCTACTTGAAAAGTGTGTGTGAGATGCTCGGCTGTGATTAGGGATGCTAATTAGGCAGTGGGGGGAGCAAACAAAGAGGGTGATTAAAGTCAAAAAGATCAAGTGCAGAGAAGAAACAAAGACAAAGAACATTAAGGAAGAATGAGCAAGGGCCCGACAAGTAAGTAATTTCCAGAGTGAGCGTTCGATGTAGTTCAATTAGAATAAGAAGACGGAGACGGGGCCTTTAGAACTTAATCACAGAATCTGCTGAATGACGCAGCTCCGTGTCTCACAAATAGCCTCGTTCATCACATCTTCACACTGTTTTTTTTTTTTTTTTTTACAAAGGAAAGGAAGCTAGCCTTCAAGGCGCTACAAGAGATACGCATCTTAAACATCTTTCAAAGATGTAGCTGAGATGTAGTCAATGATAAGTTTGAAATATAGGCCAGAGGCAGGCGGATAGAAGTAGGGTAAAGAGATGTTTTAGGGGCTTTTTTTTTTAAACCGCTGAAGTGAGCAAAGATAATCTATTCTAGTGTAAGACTTAACTGGTACATCTCATTCATCTTCTTGTATTGACAGTGGAGCAAAGGAAGCTTCCTGTTCACATTAAATCCAGCGTCTCACAGTGTTCACACTGAATTTAAAGCCGGTTGACTAATGTCTTTTATACTCTGGAAACAAGTTTAAAGGTGTACTGTGGAGTTTTGGTAGAGAAATGTGAAAGTTGGTGAAGTGTACAGATTCTGTATTATATGTTCATAACTCTATACACAAACTGTCCTCACAGGAACATTTGGTTCCTGTAACTGTTCGAAGATAAAATGCTACACAAGAAGTTATGGTGAAACTGTAACTCTCCTGGTAGCTTTCACATTTCTCTACCAAAACTAAACAGTGCACCTTTAAGTGATTCATGTGCTCCAGTAATTTATTTGGTTCCTGTCTTGAAGAAGGTATCCACTGAATTATATTTTTTGTGCATCTTATGTCCTCCTCTGAGAGCACCGACCTCCACTCGTGGAGTGTGAAGCGCAACAGTTTCCTCCTACTTTGATTATATTAAATATGTTCTATTTAATCGGTTAGTCATGCTGAGAAGATTGCCTTAAAAACAGCTTGGATTGTGTTTCATGACTGACTTACACCTAACAACCAAGATCAGGGGAAATCGCTTAGAAAGTCTTTAGGCAGGCTCTAAAGCTAGCATTAGCCGTTAGGTTGGATGGAGACCGGGATGAGAGAGTTTAGGTAAGGAGGTAAAAACGTTTTTTTGTCGCTGTTTTTGTAAAGCGAGCAGCAGAGTTTTAAATTTGATGCGCGCAGTAACTGGGAGTGCCAATATTGTGAACAAGTTCATCTTTTGAGGAGCACAGAAAGTGACCGGCTGCTTCTCTGTCCTACTGAGAAACTACATACTTTTTTTGGGAAAAGTCTTGATCAAAGGTTTGAGTGACCATGAACAGGAAGTTCACAGCTCCTGCATCACAAGCTAAAAACAGATGGAGGCACAGAGGGAGAGTCTCTATGAAAAACACGATCAATGGACATCAGATGGTTGGATTATCCTGCTGCGTGTTTTTGTGATATATTCAAGTTGTTTGTCTGCATGAAAGACAATTATTTCATTGTTTTCCAGACAGTTTGATGTTTAAAAGATCCATTTTTCAGTCGCTGTTTGAGTTTTCAAACATACAAGCTTATATCACCATCACAGTCTATATTCCTAAATAGTAGACACCATGAAAGCAGAGCTGTGTTACATTGAACACACCGAGCTTGTTTGCAACTCCAGTGAAGAACTTCAACACTAATCCACCAGAGAGATGCCACCCCCGTCTCTACCTTTGTCGAAAAAAACAGAGCCCTCGACTGAGCGGCTTGTTCAACCTGGACCACTTTGTTTTTGAATGTTTATTCAACAACGTGCGTTATGCAAACACAGCACGGTAAGTGAGTGTTTCTTAAAAGCCTAAAAAGCTTTTTTGACATTCCCATATTAAGTTACGTAATCCTTCACATGTTTAACAGCAAGTTTGTGCACAGAGGCTCTCAGAAGCCGGCTGCAGATGGAGGAGAGAGGTCGGTATGTGAACCATCTCAGCTCCCCTGATCCCAGCTAACGGCATCACCTGCTGTGACTCAGCGTGTCAGTGCAGGCATCACTGTCACATGACTGAAAGCTTTGAATGGGTGTGTTCAGAAACACGCTTCACATTACCCTCCATTTAAACCACACTGACTGCTACATGCATCATGATGGAGCATGTCAACTGCTGGATGAACTAGCCAGGAGTGTTTTACTTTATCTTTATATCCTATTGGTCAATAAAAGACTGTACAAAATGTTTTTTTGACTACAACATGTTAGCTTCTTTTCTTTTTCATTGTTGCTGATTTTATCTCTTGACAAATGCTCAGCCGTTGGTGCAGGTGGCCGAGTGGTTGGTGCATGCACCCTATGTACAGAGGCTGTATTCCCTGAAGCAGGCGGCCCAGGTTCAAATCCAACCTGTGGCTCCTTTCCCACATGTCATTCCCCACTCTCCCTGCCCCTGATTTCCAACTCTATCCACTGTCTTATCTCCACAATAAAGGCATAAAAAGCCCCAAAATAAGTCTTTAAAAAAACGTTCAGCCCATCCTCTTCACATTTGCAATAAGACTCCTGAAAAACTCCTGATATTTGCAGTTGGAGCTACGTAAATATGTGAACGCAAACAGCTACATTTTTCACTGGGACTTCATCTGGAGTTTCTCCTGACAGCCAGCTTGTAATTTTTCTGCATTAAGTCCAGGGTTCATAGACTGTCTGCACGCCACCGCTAATCACAGCTAATAAACGGCTGCATTAGGTTTTCTCTTCTCCAGTATGTTGTTTTCCGCTCTTTTGTCGACATTGTGAGTACATTAAACTACACATAGCATTGATTTAAAGGCAGATATTGTCATTACAGCATTGTATAGTTGACTCTGTTGCTTCGCCTGCCGCTTCCTGCCGCTTTATGTCTTACATCAGGAGAAC